TTTAATATTTTAATAATTATCAAAATAAGATTTATATTATAATAATAGTTATATTAAAAAATAAAAATAAAATAATTAAAATAAAAAACAATAAAATAAAAAATAAAAAATAAAAAATAAAAAAATGAAATAATAATAATAATATAAAATTTTATTTGATATGTTAAAATATATTAAAATAAATTAAATAATTATTAAATTTTAAATAGAAACATAAATTTTAAATATGCTAACAGTTTTGTTTTTTATTTAAAATTTAATAAATATTTAATTTAATTAAAAATAATAATTTTATTTATTATATTTTATAATTTAATAATTATTAAAATATGATTTATATTTTTATAATAATTTTATTAAAAAGTAAAAATAAAAAAATAACTAAAATAAAAATAATAATAATAAAATTAAAAACAGTGTTTAAAATGACATTAAAAATATTTAAATAAATTATATTATATTAAAATATTAAATTAAATTAAATAATTATTAAAATTTAAATATAAAAAAATTAAAATTTGTTAATAGGATAAGGAAATCCGATAATATATTACTCGGATATGGATATCCGATTAAAAATTTTCTTAAAATTTTTTTTTTATTTAATTTTAATAATTATTTAATTTAATTTAATATTTTAATATAATTTAATATATTTAAATATATTAAATGTGATTTTACATATTATTTTTATTTTTATTATCATTATTTGAAGTATTTTTATTTTTATTTTTAAATAAAACTATTATAAAAATATAAATCATATTTTAATAATTATTTAAATATAAAAGTATAATAAATAATATTATAATTTTCATTTAAATGAAATATTTATTAAATTTTAAATAAAAAAACAAAACCGTTAGCATATTTATTTATTTTTTCAATTTAAAATTTAATAATTGTTTAATTTATTTTAATATTTTAATATATCATAACATATCAAATCAAATTTTATATTATTATTATTATTTCATTTTTTATTTTTTATTTTTTATTTTTTATTTTTATTTTTATTTTTATTTTTATTGTTTTATTTTTATTTTTTTATATAACTATTATTATAATATAAAACATATTTTGATAATTATTAAAATATAAAATTATATTAAATAATATTTAAATTTTAAATTAAATTATTATTAATGTGGTGTAAGTGGCTTTGGTAAGAAAGAGAAGAAAATAAAAAGATATTTATTAAGGTGCCTTTAATAAAAAAGCGAAGAAAATAAAAATATTTTTGTTAAAGTTAAAAAGTAAATCTTTTGAAAAGGTTAGAGGTACAGATTGAGTTGTCAGAAGATTAAAAATAGAATTTTTGGAGGTGCAAGATGATATGTTGGAGGTGTAGGATAAAACACTCAAATAGGATAAAGTGTATAAAAAAAGATGTTGAGTTTGAGCTGAATAACTCTGGTTTATATATTTTGACAGGTTTTAGCTGTTAATTGAAAATTAAAAAAGAAATACACATTGAATGTATATACCATGGGTGTTGCTCCCTCCACCTCCCCGTTTGCTTCCTCCACCTCCTCCTTCCTCTTTTACCCCTCACTCTATTTTTTTTTATTTCTATTTTATCCTTCAGTAAAAGTTTATTTTTAGGGTTAAATTTTTATAATTTCTACCCACTCCCTCACACAACCTATTTATTTTCTTTTATGTTCTACTTTATGCTCTCATTCTTATTCTTTCGTCGTGGGAATTTTTTCTTTTCTCTTTCTTTCATTTTTGTGGTGTGAGAGTGTGGTGAGTGAGAGATTGTTGAAAGGAATTGTTGTAGGGGTGACAAAGTTTAGTTTCTGTGTTACTTGAAGGTGGTGGTGGACTCTATCAACGCTTTTACAAAAGTGTGTGAATAAGCGACTAGTTACGTGACCCTAAATTAACCTGGAAAACTCTTAAACGGATATGAGCATCCGTCGACGGATGTCAACATCCGTTTAAGATGAAACGGATGTCAAAAAAATTATTAATTTGAAATGTATATACAATTTATATTTGAGGTAAAATTAAATAAATAATAATTGAATAACTAAATTAAAAAAAAAGTTTTTCCACTAAAAAATTAAAATAAAAACTAAATTTAAATAAATCTATATATACATTTCAAATAAAAAAATTAATAAACTAAAAAAGAAAAAAAAAATTAAAAACCACCTAGAGCCAAAACGGATGTCCCATATCCGTTTGGCCTTGAAACGGATGTGCGACATCCATCGACGGATGTGCGACATCCATCGACGGATGTGCGACATCCGTTCTGGCCTTAGCGGTTATCGTCTTCCTGAAGGCAGCACACAACAGCAGCGAAACACCAGCAAATAACAGCGAAACACTAGCGAAACCAAATATGCACACATTCAAAGTAATAAATCTAAGATCTTTGCATGCATACTAAAGACTACAAAACGAACAGCACCTGGTAGGAGAACAAAGATATGCACCACGCAAAAGCAAACCACTACCATAACAGCGAAACACCACCGCATCATGCACAGCAAGAACAGGCACATCACCGCACCGCACCACCATGGAAAGCAATGGTAGAGTTTGGAGAGTTTGGATGAGAAGGCACCGAGAGTGTGACGGAGGTGGGAGAAGAAAACGCGGATCTCAAAAGTTGGGGGGGGGGGGGCTGTGAGCAGAGTTTAAAAGTGAAGTATGTAGGGTTGAGGGAGGTTAAAAAGTAAAAAGGTTAAAAAAGGTAAAGAAAAAGGTTATTTTTGTAATTAATTTTTTTTTTCAGAAAGTTGGGGAGGTGGAGGGAGGAAACAGGGAGGTGGAGGGAGCAACATCCATATACCATTCATGTAAAGTAGAGCTGTCAAAATGGGTAACAACCCGCAGGCCAACCCGACTCACCACGGTTCAGGTCGGTTTAGGTTTGAAAAAATTGTATTTTTTTATGCGGGTCATATTTCAACCTGACTCATTTAAACCCGGCTCATGCGGATTGAACCCGTGGTGGGTCGGGTTGGCCCACCAATCCACGTACCTAGTTTTATTTTGTTAAAATTTAATTTTAATTTTTTAAAAAAATATTTATTATTTTTTTTGTTTGAAAATATTATTTAAGTTCTTTATTTTCAAAATTAATTAAACACCCATGTTGGGAAGTGAAATTTGTTTAGATTTAAATTATAAAAAAGTTTGTAATTATTTTTTATTTTAAAAAAATTGTAATTAAGTTAGCCAGTGAGCCAACCTGTTTACCCAACAACCCGTGGTGGATTGGGCTGGGTTCAGACTTTTCGAGCTCACTAATAAATGAACCGGGTTGGGTTAACTCATTAAGTGACCAACCCGTGGTCAACCGGGCCAGATCGGACCGGGTGACCCATTTTGACAGCTCTAATGTAAAGCATTGAAGATGCTACTAACACCACCACATCCATGTATATACCATTATAGAATATATGTATATATATATATATATATATATATATATATATATATATATATATATATATATATATATATATATATATATATATATATATATATATATATATTTTAACAAAGTTTAAGTTGTTTAATTTTAAAACTAAAAGTTAGAAGAAAAATTAGTGCTAAAAATATTCCTAAACTAAAGGCTAGGCTTAAAAAAATATTATAGAAAATAAAGTTTTTGTTTTTTTTTATCTTTTATAGCTATCATGCATTTTGGAAACTACTTTTATCCTTATTGTGATTAATTTAAGGGAAAAGCTGGTTTAACATCCTGCTTAAAAATACATTGAGACTCTTCTTTAATAATATATTATAATTTTAAATTAACAAATAATATAAATATAATTAAAATATTATTATTTTAGAGTATCAAATGTTTTTGTGGTGTGAAAATATAACTACTCCTAATTCAATCATATGATATATCTTAATATTTTTATTACGTATTAATGTGTAATTTTTTTCAAAGAAAACTAAAAACGTTCACATTATCTATCCTTGTTGTCACAATTTCTTGTGCGACTTATGCTTATCATTTTTTTCTTTTTTGTTATGACTTTTATGATCGATATTTATTTGTTTTTATTGTTTTCATATTTTTTAATATTTTATCCGGTTCACTTATTCTACGCAGTTTACAAATATTTTTATGTTTTAATATGTTTATAATAGATGTTTTCCATAATTATATTTTCTTTACACTCAGTCATTTATTCATATTCAATCCACAACAAAATTTTAAATTTAAAAGCTAAGAAAAAAAACTAAATATGAAAATTTTAAGAAAATTTCGCCGTTGATTTTTTTAAAAAACTAAAGCTAAAAAACCCTCCAAATAAAGTGTAATTAATTTTGTCACTACTTTTAATTATAAATGGAGTTTCGAACATAATAAATGTGTTTATTGACGTTCTGATTATATTAGAAATAAAATGGATGAAAAATCTTTTCATCCAACACATCACAGAAAGCATTTCAGTTCCCCAAGTAAAAAAGCAACAACTTTTTAAAACAATTCTAATGAAATATCCTTTTTTTTTTCATAAATGTATTAATTCAAATAAGAAAGAGAAAATAATTAATTGGAGATCATATTAAAAAGAAAAATTAATACTTTATTGCTGGAACATGAGATAATTAGAAAATTTCAAACTTTTTATATTTATAAAATGATGATGATTTTGGAAGGGAGATTGTAAAGTTCAAATTATTGGCAGCACTCAATCCAACCACACAGCAAATTACATTAAAACATTTGTGCTGTCATTCTCTACACCTTATTTTTCTATTTATAAGTTGTAACAAACTCAAAGTCAAAATATCATCACAATCTACTACTTTATTTTATACTAGTTGACAAATCTAGCCACCTGAGCGCATACTTTTTGTACAATACACGTTCTTTCACACGTTCCATTTTATACATTAAACCCAATTGTTAAAACGCAACCTCAACTCAAATTTTCATAAGCAGAAAAGTAAGACATCAAGACATTGGTGGAACAACATTTTACACATAAACAAAAGAAACTGAATCGGTAAAACAAAACCCACAATAGAAGATTTGTTTATTCAATCACAATCATCTCAATGGAGTCCAAGTAGCTGGAAATCAATTAAACAATATATATCACAAGCCAAAATTTTGGAAACCCAACAGGCTTAATGAAATCGATGTACATCCAATATCCTCTTTCTGAAACATTCTCTTCAATTTTATGAAGTTCATCTGAATCTTATTGAATCTGCATGTCACATACTTTAAAAGATTGAGATGAATGAATTTGGACGAAGAAAATTGTTTTAGAAAGAGAGAGTATAGTAACAAGTGTCCTAAAATTGAGACAGAAAATTGACTATAATGGTGATGATGAACAGAGAGAAGGTAGAAGCCAGAGGGGTGGCCGAGCCGTGTGGTGGAGGGGCTATATCAGTGGAATGAGTTTGGGGTGATGGGGCTCTTTTAGTGGAATCTGAACCATATGCAGAAGGAGAAGGTGAAGAAGCTTCAACTGTAACGCTTAGCTTTTGGCCACTGCTGCAATGGCCTGAAAAGGGGCAGGAAAAGTAGAATTCCCCTGGACCTGTGAGGATAACTCTAGCTGGCCCTGTATTAAAGCTTTTGATATTGTTGTCGACTCCACAGTTTTCATAGTTAGCTTTCGAAAGTTCCACCACACTGTGGCTTCCAGACTCGAAGTTGAACACTGCAAACATGATCATGATCGTGTTATCATATATATAGCTCAGTTTTTTCTCAGAGAATTATGAATTTTTTGGTTTTGACTTTGTTAAGGTATAGTAGATTCTTACCTAGAGTGTCATTTACTTTGAATGTAAAATTGGAAGCCCATTTGGAATAGAAAGAAGCACCTCCTGGAGGAAAGGTTGTCCAACCTGTGGTACCTCCCACCTCGTAATCTTCAGCTTCTGTGGTCTTTAGTAACATTACAGTTATTACTACAAGAATTGCCACATTCCTTGATCGACCCATCATCATATGTTGTTTGTTTTGTGTATGTTTTCTGTGCCTCAATCCCTGTTGATTATTGAATATATAGAAACTGGCTAACCCATGGAAGAGATCGAAGAAACGTTATCGTAATTGCATTATCACACTCGGTCACCGTTTGACTGAATGTTTTTTTATATTTCTGTACCAAGTTGTTGGATCATAAATAACTATATATCTACGGAAATGGTCCAGCAACAACATGTCTCTAAATGACACTTGTGTTCTATCCATTATACCATACACCCCTTCTTGTAAGTAATTCAGAAAACCATTTCATTGGAAAATTGTATTATTATTGTGTAATTAATCTGTAAGCTGATCATGGTCAGGGAGTATTAATTAATCTAATCACTCTGTTTAGCAACTAGGACGGAGCTATGGACTGGGTCTTATGTCAACTAAATATCAGTCTCATCCAACTTTTGTTAAAACCTTAGTTTTTATTATGCAGCAATTTTTATATTTATCTTACATATGTTTTTTCTCTTTTTCTTATCCTATTACCAATCAACTTCTGTTTTTTACAATTTTCTTTTTATCGCATGTGTTTCTCTCTCTCTCTCCCACATGCTGATAGTTAAAAAACAAAGTCCAAAAGAATTGGAGGTTGTTATGACATGTAATAATATTTAAATTCAATTCATAAGTATCCATACGAATCACGTAAATCTATTTACAAATTTATAATTTTTAATATTTTAAATTTAACCCAATTAATTATATTAAATTGGAAACTGATTTGATATTTAAAAAAATAAAAAATTTAAATTATTGTTCATATAAGACATCAGTTTGTTAGGTCAATATTTTGTTGGTTTCTTCTAAGAGTTTATACTCAATAAAGTGTAGTTTGAATTAGTGTCAATTTTGAATGAGGTGTCTTTTGCTTAGTTTCAGTCTAACTTCATCAACTTGTTCTTGAGTGGAGTCTTGTTCATTATATATATATATATATATATATATATATATATTAAAAATGTGTCTTGTTATTCACATAACATATTCTCTTTTTAAAGACAGATATTGAAAGAAAAAAGAAATATTAAGCAAGCAATAAGGTATGATCTTATAATGGTTAGACACATAGAGCATTTACAGGTGTTTATATTGTCACAAGATAAGAAATGTGAAAAAAATTATACAACAAATTAAGCATGGGGAAAAAATACTACAAAAGTATAACCACTCTATCTCAAAATTAACAGTTTAATCTTAATTTTTTTAATTATTCGATAAAAAAAATAGAATAATTAAATCAGTTCAGGTAAAACTTAATTTGTATTTGTAAGATGTAGTGTAGCCTATTTTAATGTCATATCTAAATTAAATAAATATGAATTTAATCTAATTTAAATTTAAACTAAATCCAAAAACTCTAAATCAGTTCAATTAAATAGATATGGATTCGAAATTCAATTTACTTTATTAAATTTGGTTTGAGGTAAATTAAATTTTTAAAAACCCAATTTTGTTAAAGTCACTTTACATCGAGAGTACCTGCAATATTGGATTGCTTCTCATCACTTTTACTAAAAACTAATTTGGTAAACTTATATATTCAAACTTATTTTTAGGAATATAGTTAACCAATCCAGGTCAGGTTGATCTAAGCTAAACCTTAATCAGATTGAAATAAAATTAAGTCAATTCAACACGATTTGTTTTTTGTGATTCAATAATTTTGTAATTCAACTAAAACTAACACAAATCTGGTGAATTCAGTGGACTGATTCACTTAAAGAATTTTTTATATTTTCAATTTATTTTACAATATAAAGTGATTGTCGCAACTTTATTTTTTTTAATGTAATACTACAAAATGTTCATATATTTTATCAAACATTATTACAAAAATAATAGTTAAAAATCGAAACATCAACTTTATATAATTTTACCACAAATAATTTAAACGTATAAATTTTCCAAACATTATTAGATATTATAATGTTTAAAAAATCAAAATATCAATCTACATGATTAAAAATTATAGACAATTATAATTAAAAACTTATAAAAAAATAGTAAAAAAATTTAAGAAAAAGTCTGTGTTAATAAATTATAAGTCAATTCACCTGTAATAATCCAACTTGAACCTATTTAACACATGGATTACATTCACTAAACTATATTTAAAATATTAATTTTTTTTAAACTCAACTTAAGTCGACTTATAAATTGAAATTCATTTTCACATTCTATTTAGGAATAGTGAGTGTCTTGGAGGTTTAAAGGTGATATAGCTTCTGCTTTCTAAGGAGGAATGATTAAAAACCGTATATCTAGCAGGGATAAAACTAAACTACAGAATATATGTTAATACTAACAAACATTGATATTCTTGCAGGAAGTTTTGGCTTTCAAAATTTTAAGCCACTGAGATAAAACTGTATTTTACTCCTCATTTACAGGGCCAAAGGCTACACATATACATTCAGCAGCTTCTGGTAGGGCACATTGTGCAAAGATGATGATAGAAACACATTTTCTTTTGTGCACTTCAAGAAATACCAAATTAGATGCATTTAATTGGTTGAATAATTTGTGGATAGCAGAAAATGAAAAGAGATAGGGAAGGTAAAACGAATGGTTCTTACTCCTTAGCCTGTCGTGCAACAATCCACAATAATTCAACATTTTCTTTTATTCATCAACAATCCTCACACTATAACACAAATCCATTAATGTCCTTGTCAATGCAGCTGGAAAATGAAAAACATCAATTTATTACCACAGCACAAAACAAATACAAACAACCAGAAAGACAGACCACATACGTAAAAGAAACCGCTTTTACAAGATTTTAATAAGAATGAAACAAGAGATTTGTGGCAACTGCCATGACAAGGACAGGGACAGGGACAGTGACAGCGAGGAGAGTGGGGGCACCCGAGTGTGGAGCTTCCGATGGCGTGAGGGAAGAAGAGCCTCCTGCGGTGACATGAATGCTGAGCTTTTGGCCGAGGCTGCAGTGACTCGGGAAGGCGCACACAAAGTAGAAGTCGCCGGTGCGGTTGAGAGTGATTTTGGCCGGCGACGTGTTGAACGATTCTATTATCTCGGTGACGTTGCAACTTTCGTAGTGTTTCTGCGACAGGGTGGCAACGTTGTGAGCTCCCGTTCTGAAGTTGAAGACTGAAAGAGGAAGGAGGTAGATTATTAACGGTGAAAGAAAAAAGAAGTTATAGTAATGCAATGTTTGAGAGATGATGTTGACCAAGAGTGTCGTTTACTCTGAAGGTGGTGCTTGCTGCGAAGGATGAATAGAGGGAAGGGTTATTTATAGGAATAATCCAAGCGGAATCACCACCCACTACATGCTCTGCTGCTTCTGTGATATATTGCAATGACATTAATTTGAGTGTGAGAAGAAGGAAGAGGATTTCCACGTTCGCCATGATCAAGCGAGTCTTGAAATGTGATAATGTTTCCTTGGGAACCCTCTCCTACCTTTTATACTGTTTCAGGGAACTTATGAACACACCTCCTCCCATGCACGGAGTTTTTTTTATTCAAGATAATACTCTTAAAGTGTTAGGACCAATAAATATCAACCACTGAATTCGTTTTCAATCTCACCTTAACTTTCTTGAAATTTTAATATATTTGTTTTAAAAAATCTTTTTCAACCTTTTAACAATTATAACAGAAGATAATACACAAAATTTTATACTATTCAATTTTAACAATCTAAATTCAAAAATTATAAAATTACATTCACAATCTTATCCTCTAACATGAACAATTCCTTATAATGCTACAACCAAACCTTCCCTTCCCTACATAAGTAAAAAGAGAATATAACAAGTTTTGTAATGTGAACTATATATTATGTTTGATACAGTGATTTTTACATATTATTTTTAAAATGTTTTTTTTTTCTGGATGAAAAGCAACATAATGTAGAATGCTTTTACTTTTGAAAATTATGTAATATTTTCTTCATCGTATATATAAAGTTCAAGCAAGCGTTTTGGTGGTAATTTCTAAAGAAAATATTAGAAACCAGTAAAATTTAAATAGATAAATAACAGAGAGAGGGAAGTGTTTTTATGAATTTAAACGTTAAGACATAATTTAGGATGGTTAGGCTTCAGTTTAGTTTATTAACAATTTGAAAAGTAGTGCTTACTGTTAAGATATGCTAAATATTCTATTAAAGGATATTAGGCAATCAAATATTATGTTAGTTATAATTTAGATATTATTATAATTTGTGCAGATTTGTGCA